TAAAATCTGTAGTGAGCTGTAGTGTCTTAAGCTCAGGATCTAGTGTGCCTGGGGAAAGGCCTTGGCATGTGCAGGACTCCCCCAGCTTGAGCTCAGAACTATTGATTTGACTTCTACCAGCCAACAGTTTGCAGTGGCCCTGGAGCCTGGCCAGAGGAGTTGCTGGTAGGGTTAGGTCCCTGGCCCCTGATAGACCCTTATCCTCAGGGGGCATGGACAGGATCCTATCACCTTTCTCCTAGTAGCTGACAAGCTTCCCATTCCAGGTCATACAGACCATCCAGCTCCTTAAGCTGCCATAAGTTACCAGCAACCCTGAGGACACTTGTCACCACTCTCCACCTATTAGGCCATCCACCCTGGCTTAGGGACCTAGTCTGGACTGCTGACTCTGGGGCTGAAGTAGGACAAACTGAGCTTTCTCTCCTTCCCCATTGGCCCCCACCTTGGCCTAGACCAGTGATGGCGAACCTTTTGAGCTCAGCGTGCCAGCATTTTGAAAAACCCTCTGGTGCCGTGTCACATGTAGAAATTTTTTGATATTTGCAACCATAGTAAAACAAAGATTTATATTCTTGATATTTATTTTATATATTTAAATGCCATTTAACAAAGAAAAATCAACTAAAAAAATTAGTTCGCGTGTCAACTCTGACACGCGTGTCATAGGTTCGCCATCACTGGGCTAGACTAACTGGGAACCTGAGTGTTACATTATACCCCCTCAAGGTGAAGAGTAAGGGAAATGTTTAGAGGATGCTTACCTATCCGAGACGGGACAAAGTTCGACCTGCAGGAGGTGGGCAAGGATATGTGTCTTATCACACATTGGCAGGTGACCACATTGTGTTCCAACCTCAAATGGCTGGTTTTATTAAATGTGCCGTCCTCATTCTTGACGGCTGGACCATTGGTGATGCCTTCAGAAATCTCCTGGCCCTGGGGATTCTCCTGGGTCCATATATACCATGTGATGTTAATGTCCTTTGGGTAGAATCCACTTGCCTTACACAAACTATATTGGTCACCATCATCTTTCGCCGTGGCTTGTTCTGGAAACAAGGTGCACTTTGGGGAAGCTGCCAGGGAAGAGAAGTCATGATTTGAGGGTAGGTTAGGACTAGCTTATTAACAGTTCAAAGCCTGACCCATAGCAAGCCTTCAGGAAGGGTGAGTGAGGCGAATGAGATTCTGCTTAGCCTAAGTAATCTGGGTTTGCTGATCCCAGTGCCAGGGTGACGCTGATAGACCGTGACCCTGACTCTCACAGCCATTGTGCAAAGCAGAGTTTCTTATGCCACTTGGTGTCATAGACACCTTTGAGAATCGGAGGAAAGCTCTGGAACACTGTTGTGGTAGAAACTGCTGTCCATTCTTCAATGACACATCCAAGTTAAAGCTACATCTCCCAACCTCCACTTCAGCTGGTGAACTCAGGGTCTACTAGTTCGGATAGAATCAGTAGTAGGGAGAGCAACCTCAAGGAAATAGCCTTAAAGAACAAGAGTATCTTAAAGAAAAGTACTATGGCCTTCTCTCCCTCTCCCCTTCTTCCTTCCTGGAGAACTCCTGGAAGACCATGTCATGGTTCAAGATGGAGAAGCCATTTCCAAACACAAGGTGAAAGCTACATGTTGAGAATGCCAAAATGGCAAGATAAAAGGACTCTGGGTCCCACATGATCAAAGAACAGCCCTACCTGCCCAGGGTTGGCTCCATTTTGGGGAAAGAAAAATAAATTACCTTTTTAAAAGCCCCTGTTGCTCTGGCCAGTGTGGCTCAGTTGGGTGAGTGTCATCCCATGACCAAGAGGTGGCCAAGTTGATTCTCAGTCAGGACACATGCCCTGGTTGCAGGCTCCATCTCCAGTAGGGAGTGTGCAGGAGGCAGCCAATCAATGTTTCTCAAACATCAATGTTTCTCTCCCTCTCCATCTCCCTTCCTCTGTCTCTAACATCAAGAAAAACATATTTTTAAATTAATTACTTTAATTAAAAATAATAAAAGTCCTTGCTGACTTCTGGTTTCCTCTCTGGCATGTAAAGAACTAGAAGTCATCACTCCTATCCTGAACTGAACAAACTGCAAATCAACAACTTCTCTTAGATCCATCAGAGAACCGAGGTGACAGGGCAAACCACAACCCTGAAAGCTAGAGAGACAGGCAGATTGAGAGAACCGAAGCCAAAATCATATTATCATAAGCAGAAGGTGCTGGAGTTATAACTGACAAATGGCTAAAGGATGAAGTGGATTAGCTGGAGGCCAGTCTTAGGAGGTTTTTCTGTGTTTTACTTCCAGGAACCCTCTCCGCCCCGCTCCCTCAGGTTCTTGCAGTTGCAAGAAAAATTCCCTCCTGTTTGGGGGAGAAGGGAGAGGAAAAGTAACCATTTAAAAATATACCCAGTGCATTCTCCATAACAAAGAATGGTCTCTCGAGGGAAAAGACTTTGCCAGAGCCCAGGCTGACCTGGGAGAATGGTGATTACCTCTTCAGCCCTCTATAACCTTCCTTTCTCACCCAGGAACACTTCTGAAGGTCATAGCCTAGGGGCTCAGGCCACTCAGAGAATCAGATTTAATTCAGATGATAGACTGCTTCCCCTCCACACCACTCTACCACCACATCAACAGGGCTCCCCTATAATGATAGTAGATTACAACTGAGAGAGCTGCAAGACACAAAATCTACATGAGGAGTTCATAGGGGAACTGAAAGAAAGCAGGGAAGGAAGAAACAAGACCCTAGAGGAAAACTGAAATCTCTGACACCTACAGCATGGAATTAACATTAAACACAGCCAAGTTCCTGGCCAAATGAACAGAGACTCTCACCCTAAAAGCCTGTTTACCTCAGTTCCTATTTCCTGATACATAATATCTGGCTTTCAACAAAAAATTACAAGGCATGCTGAATAGTGCAAAAACACAAAAGCATCAGAACCAGACTCAGGTATGACACAGATTTTGGAATAAATAGATAGAAAATTCAAAATAACTATGATTAAAATGTTAAGAGCACTAATGAAAAAAGCAGACAACATGCAAGCACAGATGGATAATGTGAGCAGAGAGATGGACATTCTCTAAGAAAGAATCAAAAGGAAATGCTAGAAACCAAAAACACTATAAAAGAAATGAGGAATGCCCTACCCGGTTTGGCTCAGTGGACAGAGTGTCGGCCTGCGGACTGAAGGGTCCCCGGTTCGATTCTGGTCAAGGGCATGTACCTTGGTTTCTGGCACATCCCCAGTTGGGGGTGTGCAGGAGGCAGCTGATCGATGTTTCTCTCTCATCGATGCTTCTAACTCTCTATCCATCTCCCTTCC